AATGCTGGGACTAGGAGTATATGAGTGGGCCTACATAAGCTACTTTTGCCGAAAAACGAACTGGGATAGGGAAATGACTGTACACCAACTCCAGCTCTGGGTGCCTTTATAAATACTGCCGAACTAGGTGAGGAGGATTTTATTCCGAAGACGACATCACGGCACGTTCTTCATCAATGTGGATAGAATTAAGAAGATATCAGTTAATTTCTTCTGGTTTCACAGGGTACTCCAAGAGGTTGACAGATAGCGTCTGCTGCATTCAACATGACTGAGGGGCTGGGTGTCCGGTGAATTCATGGAATGAGCAAATCGGACAGTTAAAGATGACTGTTGAGGCACTAAAAAGACCACCATTCTTAGCCAATAGTAGTTTGCGGGGAGGCATAAAGCAGTATAAAAATAATGACAGTGACGAGAGTCGTGAGATAAGAAATCGTAATTTGCGGTATTCGTACCTGTAGCAAAGCTTGCAATCAGGAGAGAGAGCCAATGCGTAGCAGGCAGGGGCGTCAAATGTTAGATCAGCCTTTCGACGTCCTGGACCGTTGAGATCCCACACTGTGAGGGCATTCGACTCGCCACCAATCACAAGGCCGGTAGCATCCTGAACAAGGACACAAAACAAGTGTGGTTATTGCAGAATGTAAATCAAAATTGTATGGCATTTAACTAGCTCGGGCAAAAAGTCCACCCATAAAGACCAGATACGTCAGTTGGTCCACGGTGATCGCTGTTAATTACCGCGTCTCTGTAATAAGTAACAGCGGCAGCGTGTGGTTACCATCAATTGCTTCGTCAACATTCCGGAATTCTCCCGCGCGCATTGCACTTCCGAGCGTGCGACAACTTACAGACGCTGATCGCCTGCAACAGTGGCAAAACCCTGGTGATACTGCACACCAGCCTAGCACATTGAAGGCGGCGAAATCCGCGAACTGGTCCTGTCTGTATCAGAAAATAATATCGGTCTCCGGGTAGGCCCCGTCGCCCCTTCAGCCACCATCTACTATTCAACAGAATTCCCAATAAAGGGCTAGTAATGCCGGCATTACATGTGCAGGAGAAAGGCGAATTCGTTTCATGAAATGCCACAAGCAGCTTCAACCTAAACCAGAAAAATAAACGCGTACCTTGACTAGTGTTCTGAGTAAGAGTAACAGGCTGGGGAGAATAATAAAGAGGACAGTACACTGGGGTGATTTAAGAACGAATAGGCCTAAGCCAGACAAATGGCCATTGAAAAGGCCGTTTTTTGTCCAATTACGTGGGGACACAGCAAAGATTTGGCAAGTTCGCTGAAATATCCAGCCAAATCAGCCCATGTCACGTTAAAGGGCAACCGATGGCAGAGAGTTGAAGACCGGTCAATTGTGCGTAAATGTAGCAACAGAGGTGAGACAGATCTATACATTACAAACCAATATACAAAGTAAAACCAAACCACTTGGTACGAATATTGTTAGAGAACTCCACTAGTGAGAGGTGATAAGCAAGGGCGTCAAAGCGAAACTCAAGTCTGTGACAAGGACTACAATCGCTGTCATTAACAACGGTAGCTTATCTACGACTGCCTCTGATGGTGGTTTCGAGTGCGAATACAAGACGTCAGGCAAATAAACGTTGTGCTATAGCGACCGTAGTTTCTCCCGAACAGTTTTCTAACACTGCCCAGTATGCTTCTATCGACATTTGATCTTGTTGCAGACAATAAAACAATGTCACTAAGAACAGAGCAAATCAAGTAGAACAGACAGTGAATCCTGTCTGATAACTAGAACGATTTAGAAATTCGACGGTGTGGCGTAGCAACGCGATTACTACTTAATAAGAATGCCCATTTTGTAAATATGCGGAAAGAAGTAATAAAAGGAAATTAAGCCTAACAGACATAGGTCTGGAGAAGTAAATCACCAAATCGTACCAAACACTACCTAAGAGAACATAACGTGTGAGGAGGAGAGCACATATGCTGACTTACGGGGAAGAGTTTAATGGACCGTACGTAACTGTCGTGTCGGAGGCAGTCGAATGAGGCCAGAGCAACAACGTCTCGCACAGAAGTAGAACAGAGGGCAGCAGCTGAGGTCGAAATGGTATCCAGGTCCCACAGCTTGACACAACCTCTGCCGCCAGTGTAGGCAAAATGTGGCACCGGGGATTGCGGAGTGTTAGCGGTGGCAACATTGTTGCTGGGAGAACTAGCGTCGTGATCACTGTTTGTAGTCGAGGCCGTCTCCGAAGCAACCAACTCTTCAGCCTTCATGGAGGGATTGCGACCAGCCGGTATAGGGCCGATTGTCACCGCACAGACCACCTCACCATGCGGTAAACTAGCTAGGTGCTGCAAACGTCGAGGCAAACCAGGCTGTGTTGTTGCCTCTGGGGCTGATGCGAGAGCGCAGGGTCGTGTCTGGCCAT